CCGGAAGCACTGGACTCCTCTGGTTTCAGAGAGCAGACCGCTTTGGCTTTCTTTTACCTGAGCTGGGACAAGGTGGCTGTCCCATAGTCCGCTGAGGGCATTTGAAGGCGTCTTTGGCTGTCTCAGGCTGTAACCATCATCCTTTTCCCTCACCAGCCTACTCACAGGATTCTATGCAGATCCTCCTGATTTACACCCCTGAATGCCAGAGCAGACTCCAGCCCTCTATCCCCTACAACCATTTTCACTTGGGGCACCCATATAACACCTTGTCTTGGGCAGACTCTGGAGTCAGGCTACTGACACCTCAGGAAGGATTCTTTATAGAATATCACTCAAACCAATTTTATTTATTTTTAACAACGTGCTTCATTCTGCCACCTCCATCCATTCATTCTCTGACAAAAGCTAAATGTCAGGCCCAACACTAACTGAAAGCCCCTTTAAAAAGTTGGATTTCAATCTAGAGATATATCAGGAGTAAGAAAGTTTCCTGGTGTTAATTTTAAAGCACTTGTATTTCATGCTGACTTGGGAAATCATCCTCAGTTTTTGGCATCAGGCAGAGGATTTGGAAAGTGACATTAACAGATCTACTTTCTTTGAAGGACTTGGGAGTTATTTCTTGACTCCTGCCTAATGAATAAGTGCTGCCTTCGTTAAATTTATATTTATGGCCATATAGTAGGTCATTGGCTTGTTTTATGTCTCCAGGTTTATGGAAGGTTATCTGCCATGGTCACCTTGTGGCATCTTGGCCAGGACTGTCTTGCAAAGAGACAATTGTATCTGAGCAGGATTTTTCCCGTGGAGATATGGAAATGATCAAATTAATATAGAGGAGATGTCCAGGGATAAGGCTCTTGCCCTGAGCTGCCAAATGAAGTTACTATTAGCATCTGTTTTCACAGTACACCTTTAGTTTGCCCTGGCAAGGCCAGATCCTCAGCTCCTGGAAAGCAGCAAGGCCACAGGGACTTCAGTGGGGCTGACGTGATTGATAGTTGTCCTCTGGCCTCAGTGGAGCCTCTCTGCATTTTTTTCCCATCACCAGCTGATCCTCAGCATTTACATTACAACACCTTTAATGTGGGAAACGTCTGTATGTTGGACATGACACCTCCATGGGTCTGGCCACAAGGAAATCTGTTTCAGATGTTCTCCCTAGGCACATTTGCACAGAGTCTGCACATCCAAGGTCTTTGGATGATGATACAACTTAGAGACATACTGGTGCTGATCCAAAAGCTGCTGTAAGGTGCTCTATGATATCCATGACTCTCACCTATAGCTCTTACCAGCCCTTACACATCTACTTACCTTGTGTGCCACTGTGGGCTTGCACCCTGGCACAGACAGCACACCGAGGAGCTGAGGTATTTTCCCAGCCCTGTATGGGGGCTAATATTTTCAATATCAAAGAAGACTGGTAAGCTGGATGAGGAGAAAGGGTGACTGAGGCAGATTAACTCTTCCACTAATGATCTATGTGAAGGCCACCCTGTGAAGTCATGTGTATCTTATGGAGGAATAAAGCAACCCTACCTGATGGTCTCCTTGTGCTGAGATGCAGGAAATATAACTTCCAATCACTTTGAATTTTAGGAAGTAGTGGGCTACATCCACACCTAATCCCTATGGTAGGTTTATTCTGAGTTGTGAGCCCTTGATGAACTCCTCATAGGTCATTAATATGTAAGGGGGCTATCACTGAACAGAACACAGCATGGCCACAACTGCCTCAAATGTCTCATCTGTGTCTTGAGATTTCTGGGTCAATAGCAGCTGTTGGCTTCATCCATGCTACACCTGGGAGCACAGGCAGTTGTGCCCTTCTATGCTGGGTCTGGTGCATCTGGCAGGGTGAGCAGCAGCATGAAGATGTGCTCAGGGCTGCCCAAGATGCCTTGGTTTCCTGCCAGGGTGTCCAGCCAGCCCTGGAGTGGTGTCCCTGCATCTTCACAGGCCATGTTGGCCAGCACAGACACCTCCACTATGCTGAAGTCACATCTTCATTTGCTGAGTAAACACAGTCTCCAAGATAAGGAAGGCGAGTTCTTCAGTGAGCACAGGTCATCACTTTTAAGAGGTGCCAAGTTAAATTCCTGCTGGTTGTGACTCACCACAATTTTGGCTTTTCCAAAATGGCCAAGGCAGGGTATGAAACTACAAGTAAAACAGAGCCCCAAGCCAGGAGTTGCTTTGTTCCCAGAGGTGCCTTCAACTCTCCTTTCAAGAGCATCCAGGGATGGTTGGGACAGTTAGGGCCCTGTGTGCTAGCATATGATGCTTAGCATATTCTTTTCCCATGAGGAAGTGATTTCCAGGTTGGAGCAAAGCTAACTGAAACCAAGGCAGAGCCTTCCCACTGGCTTGCATGTGCTGTGAGCCAAGAGGAAACTCCATGCATGACCTGGGTCACAAGGCAGCCTCATGAGAAACACCCAGTTAGATATTATCCTTGGTGGAAAGCCATTAATATTTGGGAAAATAATCAACTCTAAAGGCTTTAGTGTGGAAGGCAGAAAGGCTGCATTTCATGGCCTGTTACCCCAAACACTTTAAATAAATTATTTACCCAGTTCTAATATTTAATCTTAAAGGTGGGGGATTCTCAGCAGATGTATTTCCTAAACAGAGTATCTTAGTTCTGATGGTCAGAGTATGGTTCCAAAGCCAGGTGAGATATCCACAGGTGGGATAAGCAGAGCAGCTCTGCAGTGAGCCAGATGGTCGTGTCCAGGAGATAGACTCAGCTATAGCTGGAAGGTCAGGCAGTTCCCACACATGCCCAGATAAGGCAAGGAATAAAGGAAATTACCACAGTCAGACATGTCCTGCTTAGTGAGTTCTCTGGTATCAGTGAAGTGCCAGCCATTTCTAATTATCAGCAGATCATAGAGAACAATCATGTCCAAATCAGCCTCATCTGAGGAGGAATTAAATGCTGTAACTGCATTTCCTGAGCAGCAGAGACAATTCCTTCTTCTGTGCAATGGAAGAAGGATAGTTGCCTTTGGGGAAGAGATGGCAGATCCTCCCCTTCACTGCAGTCTGCAAAACCATACTTATAAAGATTTGCTTCTCTCACCAAAGGTTCCCTCACCTTTTTGGGTAGGACTTGAAGGGTCTAAGTTATTATGATTCATTCTCCTAAAGGGGTGAGGGAACTGATGTGTTACTCGACTTTTCATAGCTATTCAGTTTTCTTGTGAAGAAATATGATCAATATTCTGTTTTTCAAGGAAAACAGCTTTAAGCAGTGGTTAAAAAGAATAGACTAGATGGTTTCTTCTTCAAGAAGAAAGTAGTAAGGAAAAAGTATTGTATTTTGCAAACATTACCTCCATTACGTTCCTGGAACAACTACTCTTTAAAAATATAATGTAGAATTTCTACTCTGCCTTCCACTGACCTCCCACAGGTTTTAATATATTCTCCTCACACCATTTTGTAAAAAATTAAAATCCTTACAGTAAGACAGTGCTTTCCCATTTCACATACACACATATTGAGGGACTTGCCAAAAGTCAGCTAGGAAACCATTCCAAGCTAAGACTGCAATCCCACTTATTTCTTCCTGTGACTACCCCAATCCCAAAGTCCACGTGATCCAGTAATATCCATAATGAACAGAAGCTTCCTTTCCTTAGCCAGCTAATCGGGTTTGCCACCTCAGATTTGGTCGTTTCACCATTCCTCCTTGTATTTTGGGAGAAAAGTGCAAGACCTTGCAAGTTTCCATCATGACCAATGGTGATCTTTAAAGTTAAGTTTCAAGCTGGTATTTCTATTTGTAAGAAAACACTTTATCCGTGTTCCTTGGGTATGTAATACTCACGTATGACAACCTCCCCCACACTTTGCCATACAGTCAGTGTCTTTCCTTGGATAGGTGTATGGCACCAGATTTCCTTCCAAGAGGCCCCCACCTTTGCATCCTCCAAGCCTTGCCTCCAGCCACACCTCTGTGCGGGTAAGAAGGAAAAAAGGTGGGATGGATGTGGGAAAGTGGCAGTTCCCTAAGGGATCATCCTACAAGGAATAGGTTGGAGGGACTGCATAAATGTAGAACTGTGCAGTCCCAATAAATACAAATTAAACTCATTAGAAGAAGTGAAATATTAGGGCCAAGGTGACATTTGGACTGGAGGTTTAGCCAAGCTTTGCTTTAAATTTTTTATTGATGCAGATAAAGAAAGAGCTTATCCAACACGTTTCTCTCTCTTTTTTCCCCCTATCAACCAAAGAAGAAAAAGAAAAAAAAATTCTTAACTAGCTTTGGTTGTATTTGAGCAAGACTTCAAAGTTTCACAAAAATAAACAGTTTTAGTGGGGAGGAATGCACACTTGTAAAGAGAGAAAATACACTTTGAAGCCAGCAAGAGACTGCATGCCTTATGCAGAGATTCACAGCATCCTCCCTGGAGCAGACAAGTGGTGTCCCCCTCCCCTCCATGCAGCTTCTTCTCTCTCACTGGGGGCTGCCTGGCAGCAACACAGTCCTTCGAAGGGATGTGGGGATGACAGGAGCCATTGCTTTGTTCTCTTCTCCTTCCTCCTGCTATGCCCCTGTTGTTTTCTGCTCTGATTGAAAGTTTCATGTGACTGTAGCTGTCACTGAGATCTGAGTTTGCACAGTACCTAGCACAGTGTTAGTCCTGGCTTAAGATGAGGGTTCTTTGGGGTTGATTAGAGCCAAAAATCTGCATGATCAGTGCAGATCCATAATTTAAGCTTGGGAAATGAGGGGAGAGGTTTATTTGTCCTCTGCTCCAAGGTCTCACAGGGTGATGGCTGGGGGACAGAACCGTCTTAGCCATCTTGGGGGGTTCTCTGCATTCCTGGAGGGAATTCCATAGGGCAAGTGAGCTGCTCCTCCTCAACCCTCAGCCCCTGGGTCTGTCTGTTTCGGAACACATATTGATGATAAAAAATAAGGGGAGAGTGCCTATCATGTTTTAACCCCTTAATTCCTTGTCTCTCTTGTGTCTCCACAGCACAGAGCCCCACTGCAGCAGACCCCTTGCAGCAAGCCTACGCTGGAGTGCAGCAGTACGCAGGTCGTTAGTATTAACACTTTCTCCCAATAAACCTTTCTCTTCTCTAAAGCCATTTCCCTCTGAACACACCTCAGGGGGCTGAAGGAAGGGAGGTTTCTACTGATACAGGGACAAGCTGGGGGCCACAGACTCTCTGATTCAATTTGCACAGACATCAAGACATCCAGGGTCTTCTCTCAAATAGGAGGCAACCTCCTCCCTTTCCCATGAAAAGGCTCCCACTGAGCTGCACCTCAGTGAAGCTTCATCAACAGAGCTCTGTCTGGTCTGCCTGAGAACAGTCCACAAGTGCAAAATCTGGCCATTGCTTTGGAGGCCACTTTCTAAAACAGGTCTCCTGAGCACTGCAGAAAAGGGGAGATGGGCAGCCGGGCCCTGCAGAGCCACTGCTGCTGGTGCCTGGCAGGGCATGGAATGCATGCACACACCCATTTCTGTAAGGCTGTGTCTACCGGCCATACCCCGCTTAGTCGGTCTGAGCCTTGCTTAAGAGCTACCCAGGCATTGCCCCACTTCCCAGCAGGTTTCCCCACAGCTCCCCGTGGGTCAGTCAGCCTCCCTCGTGCTGTCCTGTGTGCTGAGCAGCTCCTTGGCAGCTGAGGGACTGGCACCAGCCAAAGTGACCGGGTGCAGACCGTGACCCTGCGTGCTCAGCTCCCCTCACGAGGTGTCCATGGCCAACGCTGCGAGGAAGCTGCCACCCCAAAGTCATTATTTCCTGTGGTAACTGGAGCAATCATGGGTTCCCACTGAGGAATGGTTATTATCTCATGTCAGCACTGTATCTGGGAACTTAATTTAATTCTCCATATAGGGCTTCATTTGCCGGTGTTTTAGTTATTGTCATTTATTGCTTGTGAGGTTTGATAGATGGGAAGCAACTCAACCCTTTGAGCTGTTAATTAACCCCTCTGCACACACATGGCCCCTATCCTCTTCTCTCTGGTCTTGCAGGCGACCCATACTCTGTATTTTTAGCAGCAAGGCACATCATCTACCATCTGTGGTAGTGAATGGCTCCCCTTGTTTGCTTGGTGGGGGAGCTGAGATGGGGAAAATTGTTTAATTGCTGCTCACTGTTTCCACTGTGTTTGTGTGTGAGAGAGGAAGTCTCTACGGGCATGAAAGAAAATGTATATCCGAGAGTGTATGTGCAACTGTGTCTGTAGAGCCTGTGGGCACGTGAAGGGGAAAACACACGTGTGGATTGTTTTTATGAGTTAATCAGGGTGCCAGAGATGAGGTGGGGAAAGGTGTGCATGTGCTCTGTGCGTGGCTGTCAGCTTGGGCATCTCTGCTCCTTAGTGAAGGTGTCCCTGTGACCATCTGGAATGGCTGTACACCTCTGTTGGAAGAGATCTTAGCAGAGCCCCCCATCTCCACTGCATGACTGCCCTGGGTGTCACTGCTGATGGACCTGGAGGGAGAGAGGGAGGGAGGATGCTCTGGGCCCTGTGGCACCTCCTGGAGCATGACCATGGTTCTTTGGCCACACCTCAGGCTGCACAAGATGGCCCTTCACAGACACAAAACTCAGGGGCAAAACCCCTAGCTTGGTGTGGTGGTTTGGAGTGAAAGCTCCTTGCTTCCTAGTACTGAAATCTTTCCTTTCTTTTTTTCCCTTTTTCTCCCTTTTAGCTGCTTATCCTGCTGCTTATGGCCAGATTAGCCAAGCGTTTCCACAGCCACCTCCCATGATCCCACAGCAACAGAGAGAAGGTGAGTACAAGTGATGTCCTCTTGTGTGACCCCAGCCAGCCATCCCCACCTCACTGGTTCCCCTCCTGCTGCACCTAGAACATCCATTAAACACTCAATTGCTTTGAATGCCTGGTCCACTGAGGTTTTTCTCCATTTCCATGTGTGGCATGGTGTCACTGTCACCAACAGTACTGTTTCTCCATCCATGTGGGGAACAGCTGATAAGATCTCTTCAGTCCCCAGGGAGGAAAGCATGCTGATGTGCATGGTACATGGAAAGACCAGCTAGGAACATGGCCATTAATGTCCAGTGGGGGCCTCTGTTCAGGACAAGCAACAAGAATGCAGATAAAAATGAAATTGTACTGGAATAAAGAGCCTTACGGGAAAGAAAGCACTAGTGGCCCTTCATTAAAAGCCAGTAACATCATTTCAGACACCTGCTGTTCGGAGAACAAGGACTTGCCATTTAGAGTAGATGATCTAGTCTTTTCAGCCTTCCAGCCTCCACTGATAATCTGGAAACATAAATCAGACTTTGCAGAGCACAATCCCTATATCAGGATGAGAAAAAACACATAGTAAAAGTTCCTATTTCTTTGCAATGACTATGAGAGTTGCCTGGGTAATCTACTCCACAGGACTGGATGGCCTCACGGAAGACTCATGAAGAGTAAGGAGAGGTGAATCTACCATTTTTGCATGTAAATGCCTTGGAATAAAACTGTGCCATGTAATATTGCTTTACAGTCATTGGGGAGCAGTGGAATCCTCAGAGGCAACCCAATTGGGTGTTCCATTCCAGTGGTCCTACGAGGAGTCCACTGCTGCCTTTTGACAAGAAGGAGGGGACTGCTTGCCTGAGTGAGACATTAAAGTCAGGTGCTCCAGCTTAGCAACTCTCATTTTAAATAGTTACATTTTAAATTTTGTCCTCTATTAGATCACTAATTCAGACATATTCTATATTATATGTGTTATTATATGTATGTAATTACATTTAATATTTTAATACAGTCTAAGAGTTCAGAATGAAATGAATCTAGATTACACCATCAAACTAAAACATTCTGATGATCTAAAACTACTTTGGGGGAGAAATCTCATTTTGTAAGAAAATTAGAAATGTCGTCATTTCCATCTAATTTGGAATTAATTTTTTCCTATGTCAGAATTTCCTGGGGAACACAACTTCCAGCTCCTGATTAGCTCTAGTACATGTCCCTGCTGTGAGAACAGATGCACAGACCTATCGTATCATTACAGAGATGTTTCCCCCATGCTGAAGGACTTTGCTTTTTATTAGTTACTGGGGCTAGATTAAGCACAGGACAAAATGGCGAGCAGATCATTGCTCAGCAAAGCACTGTGCCAGGAACCACCAGAAGCAGGGGGAAGCTGTGGTGCACACTTTGAAGACCCTCTGCCTGTAGACCCCTGTGTTTACAAGGCATGGTGTGTCTCTGTGGGTTAGGAGTGAGTGTCACCCAGTGGACAATTTATCTCATAACTCTGCTCCTTCCTATAAGCAGCTGGCATTGAGAATGAGGATGGCTGGGGACAGCAATATGAGATGAACCACTAGTCCAAGGCAGGTTGGCATTCCTAGCGTTCCTCATTTTCCTGCAGTGCTGAGAGGTTGTGTCTTTGCTTCTTGCTAGAAGAATATTCTCTAAAGCACAACACTCCCCTTTAGCAGAGGGTCAAGACCTTTAAGCATCTCTAACCTTCAGCAGGAAAACACAGCGAGAGGGAACTCAATAACAACAATAATGCTCAGTGCTAGAAGAGTATTTTCGGTTTGCAAGGATGTGCACAAACATTGATTCGTTAGTGAACCAGCCCTACCAGCACAATAACACCAGTGATCACATTGTTAATGACAATCTTAGCTCTCCACTCCTGGATCCCAGCTGGATAACAAGCCCAGGGACGTTTTGCTGCTGCAACATTCCTGTAGAGATGAGTCATTTACTTCCACATGAGCACCGAGGCTTCCGGCAGCTGACAGGGTGCATAGGGTGGAACTGATCCAAAACTATCAAAGCTTAAGATAAAATCTTGATTCAGGCCATGTCAACCACACAAAACTTGGAGGTTATTTTAAGTTTGTACGGTATTACTCATCTTGATGTAGTTTCTGAAACTAGGAAGTACAACTTCTCGTTACAAGTTTGCAATTCTTGTCTGTGTTGTGCTCAAACTTTCTGGGAAAGCAGAAGAGGCAATGAAATTCCATTCTCTGAGTGCTGTAGATGCGAAGTGTGCAGCTCACCAAAGTGCTGCAGCCCAACTTCATAAAACCTCATGGGTTAGCCCAGTTTAAATTACTGTTGGGAAAAAAGCCTCATCACAGCCTTTCCTCATGACACTGCTCCCAGTGCTGGGATGCAATGATGGATAGCTGATGTCAGAACAGGTATATGGAGTTCACTTGTGTTGAAGGTGGGCACGCAGGGAGAGGATGGGTCTGAAGCTGTCCCTGTGCTAGAAAACTGACAATGAGCTCAAACGTGATGACCATGGGCAGAGCAATGGCTTATCAATGGCTCAGCTCAGGGCCAGCCAAGCTAAACTAACCATGTTGTTCTCTGCTCTCAGTCACAGGTTTTTCCATTATCCAGCATAGTTTGCCTGTAATTTACAGAAAATCCATAAACTATGCTTTAAAGCTTTTCTTGCTTTTTTGTCCCAATCAAGGCTTACTGATCTTCTTGTGTATAAACGAACAAAAAGGTATATATGTCCAAAAAAATGTATACACGTCATAAAATCAAAAGCCATGGTAGACATCTATGTTGAAATGAAACTTCATTTTTTCTGATGGTGTGTCATGGGGATTAGATTTCAAGCTACACTACAGCCCTTTTGAACACAAAAGTAAAGCCTGTAGTAAATAATTTTATTATTGTATTCAGCCCTAAATTGCCAAGTATAGTGATCTCCAATAATCCATTAACTCTGTCCAAAACAAGAACTTTTTCTCCAAAAAGAGAGTTGGGCTCTTCATTCAGGTTTTTCCATACCAGCTGTGGTTTTTCTGTTGTTCCAGTATCCTGAGCAAGCCCCTTAGAACTCATTGCATTTGTGCACTGAGAACTGACTAAGATCTTTAAAGTATTCCGAGAAGAAAATTGTTTGGGTTGGAAGGGACATTTAAGACCCTCTAGTTCCAATCCCCTGCCATGGGCAGGGACACTTTCCACTAGATCAAGTTGCTCAGAGCTCCATCCTCTCTGGCCTTGAACACTGCCAGGGATGGGACATCCACAATTTCTCTGGGTAACCCTGTGTCAGTGCCTCGCCACCTTCATAGTAAAATTTCCTCCTTATGGTCTTGTCTTCGGTTCCTTAAAAATATACCTATGTGTACAACACGACAGCCATACACACACACAAGAGCCTTATGTGGAGTGCCCAAATTAACTTGAATCAAGCAAAAAATATATCTAAAAAAAGCTAGGAGGGCTGAGGCAGACAGATCTTGTTTCATGAGTTCTTTACCAAGGGCTCTGACTGTGACAGGTAACTTACAGAGAGATTTAACCAAAAATCACTTGTTAAATTCTAAAAGCAGGAATTTCACATGTGAGAGGGACAAAACACATCAAACTACCAGGTTTTGGATTTTTTGGTTTTATTCTCAGAGGCAAGTGAAGTTTTCAACATTGGAAGTTAGGAAAAACCCCTCTGTAGTTGGAAACAAAGTGAGTTTGTCCTTGAATGTCTAGGTCAGTAGGGGAAGCCACAGCACAGGTTTCCCAGGCACAATTTAGCTAAGTTGGTCTTTGAGAATAGTCCCTGCTTTTTCCCACCCTCCCTGGTCTCTTCCTCTTGGTCTCTGAGTTGTGTGAGGAAAAGTGGATTTCAAGGTGAGCTAAGGGTTATTCTCTCCTTGAGCTCCGGCTAAAGGTGGTGTAGTTAAAGTTGTGTGCCTCCTGGACTGCCTTATGCCTTGGTAGGTGTTTCTCAGCACACAGGCAGAATCCCTACTCATGCACAACACATCCAAGACCCCAGGAAATGCAGCTGGTATTTTTGAAAGAATTGGCCAGTTTTACAGTGCAAACTGCTGGCACTGGTGATGTCAGTGGGAATTTTGCCACCAACTGCAGCAAAGCCAAAATTTTACCCATTTTATTATAATGTGGATCTCAAATCCCACAGCAGAAGTGCTCTGGGGCACGTTCAGATGAAGGAATGAATTTTTTCCCTGTTATTCTGGACCATGGTCTGCTCCTGGGCAGAATTTTCTCAATTTTAACAGACACCTAAGGGGGTTAGTGTTTGTTTAACACTTTCAGACTGTTTCATATCTAGCTTATTATGCCAATAACTCTGTATTGTGTGGAAATGGCAGCAAAGATTGGAAAAATGATAGTTGCTCAGTGAGAAGACTAAAGAAGAGGCAGACGGGAGGTGGGGGGAAGCTGGAAAAGCTTGGCATGAAATAGGGGAGCCTGATTATGGGCCACTGAGGTTCAAAAGTAATTTGGCTAAGCAGATGACCGGGTGCCTAATTAGTTAATTATCTCACCATACCACTATCCCCCCCATTTGGAAGAAACCCTGTTACCATCCTCATGACCTTTAGGAAATGCACAAGATGCAAAGGATCAGCTGTTCCTTCATGACAGTCCTTTTAGCAAATTAGTGGGGAAAATTGTGCTTAGCAAATATTCATTAGGGCTTCATTTTCCATTAATCCAAAAGGAAATGTGGAGAGCCTGTGACTTCAATCATGCTGAGGCCCAGGAATTTTAATGAGCTTTAAATGGGCATCTGCCAGAATCCTGACTTCACCGTACTTCTCTTGCCAGCCGGGGGGATGAGTAATGGGTAATAAAAGGTGGGAGCATCTAGGCGAACTCCTCTCCCTAACAGGAAAGGCAAAGTTGTAATTTGCTGTGTTATGACACTGTAATTATGCCCTGATGAAGAAAACGAGAGTATTAAAAAACCCTTTCCTTCCCCACGCTGTGCCCCAGACGTAAAAAGGGGAAAGTTGACAGAGTCAGGTCACAGGATTGTAGGTACATGGGCTAGGGGGAAGGAGGAAACCCTCCTTCTCTCTGACCTCTAACCCTTTTGGCAAAGGGCACACAATGTATCCCCTTCATCTCAACCCCTCTGAGTCAAGCAGAGCTGGAGTTACCTGTCGAGGTCAGTGCAGAGCTGGGCAGCAGCTGGAAGTACCTTTAGAAATAAAACGATGAAAAAAAAACAATCCCTGTCTCATCAAACTATACAGTCTTCTGCTATTGAACACTGCAAAAGTTTTAAATTTTAATTTTTTTTTTTAACAAAACCATTTGGACACACCTTTTTGACTGTTGCTCAAGGACTGCATGCATAAAAATAAAAAGTTGAAAACTTATATTCTAGGCTATTCAAAGAGGCAGGTTTGCCCTCTTCTGCCCCAAAATACAATTTCAACAGAATATTTTTTCAGGGTCTCTACTTTAATTTCATATTCCAGCTAAAGGCATGTCTCTGGATGTTTTCCAAAACACCCTCTGAGATCGGTAAGAGTATAAATTACAGGATTGAGGCAAAAGAGCCAATCCGTCTTGTCTAGTAATTTGGATTTAAATTCACCTAAAATTTATCCTGCAGAATGCTCTAGAAGGGAGGACATGGCCTAAATGTCCAGATCTGGGGAAGTCTTCAGGATGAGTCGAGCTGGGGGGATGATTGTAAAATTCTACAAAACAAGATCAGTCTGTGGGTTTGTGCATATCTTTCTGCTTATTATCATCATTTGTGTGATGTTATTGTCATCACACAGATTCAAGAAGGATAATGAAACTTCTGCATGCAGACACTGGGAAGAGGCAAGGGATAGTGTGGGTCATCTAAAACTTTACAGATTAAATAAGATTATGAGGAATAAATAAAATCTGAACCGTATTCTTTCATTCTTTTTGTTCTTATTCCTCCGTTCTGTTCTTTCCATGGCCACATGTGCTGGTGCATTCCTCTCTCTCTAGATTTTACCCTGGTGTCCTGGGAAAGCTATTGAAGTTACCATAGCCTCTAGGTGACTTTTTGAGTTCCTGGTCTTCTACTTTGTCCATTCCTCTGAGAGTCTACAGGCTGCTTCCTAATGTGACCACTCACCAGTCAGAGAGAGAAGATGCCAAAGTAAATCTCCACCATGTGCTTTCTCATATCCTATTTCTCTTCATTCATGGGTCTTCTTTTTCTCTTGATAGGACCAGAGGGCTGTAACCTGTTTATCTACCATCTGCCCCAGGAGTTTGGGGATGCTGAGCTGATGCAGATGTTCCTGCCTTTCGGTAATGTCATCTCCTCGAAAGTGTTTGTGGATCGGGCGACAAACCAAAGTAAATGCTTTGGTGGGTAAAGATAACAAAACAATTAGATTCATCCAGGAAAGGGCTTTCTCTGAATACTTTACCTTTCAAACTGCTTTCTTTCTGCTTAAGCTTTATGATTTCTCTCAATTTACTCCTGTCAATACTTTCCCCCTTCCTTCTTTCTCTCCTGATTGTCTCATGCTCAGAGTTGTGTGTGCTGCTTAGAGGTCAAGGTTTGGCATCTCACCAGCAGCTAGATGCTGCAGGCACTGGTGGGGTCAGAAAATACACCCCTTGTAAAGGGAAGTGGGGAGGGTGCAGAAAAGATAAAGCACCTGGAGCAAAATGGAGGGGGCTGGGCACAGGTGAAATTAAGAGATCAGCAGAGGGATCATGTTGCAGAAGGGGAATTTCTGTACGTAAGGAAAAGGAGAAATAGGTCCTGGGGTTGAGGGGAAGACAGAGCTGTGAGGGCAGCTTTCCTGCAGCTGTGATGCATTAGACTGTAAGGGGGTAAGGGCTGAGCATCTGCTGAGAGCCTGGTCTTCTGGGGGGTGATGGCTGCTTGGTAGATCACATTCAGACATGTTCTGACCTACTGGACCTGAGGCAGCACCCCAGCAGACACAGATGGGCCAAGGTAACCCTGTGCCTCAGCTGACAGGCCATGCTAGGAGGCTGGGTTTGAAAGCTGCACCCGGCTCACACAGCTCTGGCCTCACTGCTGGCTCCACCCTGCCAGCTGGAGTGGATACAGAGCCCAGCCTGGAGCTGCCTGTGAGCCCCAGGCAGGGACACCCTGAGCTGCACCTGCAATGGGAGGGCTCAGCCAGCCAACAGCCATGGGGTGATGTATGTATGGGCTCTACTGGGATACCACCTTTTGCAAAGTTGGGGCTGTCAAGGGCTCCTTTTGGCACAGGGACCCTGCCACATCTGATCCCATCACACCTGGTGGACAGGGAATCTCCCACAGCCATGTGCCCACCGCTGGGATCGGTAATTTTTGATTCTCTGCCATCCTGTACCTCTTGCAGACCCTCCCTGGGAAGTGCAACAGAACAAACTATTGCTTTTCTTTTCCTGTTACTTGCAGCTAATATGGATTCTGTCTCTCAGGCAAACTTCCAGAGTTAAGACTCATTGGAGTTTTCATTCGATTTTAAAACCACTCTCAATCTCCACACTATGCTTTCTTTCCATGCTGCCTTCCCCTTTCCCCTCCTGAACAGCTCACCTCCAAAAGCTCTTACCTCATCCCTTGCTACCATGGTGCACGTCAGAGAGTACTTCAAGAGTTTTGTGCCCTTTCTCTAGGCACAGTTTCTCCTGCCCATCCACAGAGGGTCTGAACAGGCTATTTTCCCTTTTATGGTTTGAAGGGACCCTGGCCCCTGATGAGAGGGACACAGCCCTCCCAGTCACCAGGAGTTACTGGGTTTCTGCACTCTCCAGCACTCTCCACTCTCACAGAGGAATGAAGGACAAAGAGTCTGGCATGCAGAGGCAGTTGGCAAATTCATATTAGAACTCCAAACTATGAAGGTAGCACCAATGAATCCAGAGCCCGCCTGCTTTTTATATACAAATTATATATATATATAAATATAAATACATATATGTATTTTTATAAATAAATATATATACATAAATATATATATATATATAGTCTTATAACAAGTCGAGCAGACCACCACAGGTCTAGGTTATATTGAAACTGATGGTCCAAGGAGACCCAAAGATTGGAAATGAACCTTTGGCAGTGAAATTGTTATCAATGTTTAGAAGAATTCTGGGTCTGGTTCTCCATATATTGGGAAATAAATGGAGATGCCTTCTTGTCAGCTATGAGCCTTATCCCCACTCAATTCAAAGGCTCATGGCTACAAGGCCCCATGAGGTGATACACACCCCATTTGTGGGATTTATGGGCAGGGATTTGGGGCTACTTCCAAGGTACTGTGAGGTAGAGGCTGAGAGTTAAGCAGGAACTGAGGGGTCTTAGGAGGAATTTTTATTTTTGAGTTTTACTGGGAAAAACTAAACATCAGCTTGTTGGATGAAGTGAAATCTGAAACTAACTGTGGGATCTTGAAGGCTGAAATAGGGAGGTGCCCTTTAGAAGTGTTGGCTCAAGCACACAGACAAGCAAAAGAAGGAATTAGAGATTGCTGGTGGATCTTAGTCACCTTATATGAGCTTCTGAGACACAAACACACAGGTCCAGTCAGTTTGGGGTCCCAGGGGTCAAGTTCCAGCTGTCTCTGGATTTCACCTAGTTTTCCATAGAGCTGAGTGCCTGTTGTCTCTGTTGGTCTCAGACAAATATGTTGACTATTCTTCCACATCCACCACCTCCAGAAGGATAAAAATAACAGAAGCACAGGTAGCTAATTATCACAGGTAGGTTATGTTGCTTTTCAAAACCTCCCACCCTCCTGACCTTCAGATTTAAAGCAACGTAAAAATGTAAAAGGTATTAGAGGAAATCAGGCCTCATTTGTTCTGATAAGTCTACTGAAGTTGGCATTTTTGTTGAGGAAATAAATTTAAATATAAAAATAAATTACTTTTTTTCCTAAAGGAAAAGAAGGGATTTTATTAACTTTGAAAGTAAGAAAATAATTTCTTTGCTGCTTAAACATTTCCCAAAACTCAACATGTAAGAACACAGCATTTGCATTCTATTTCACATTTTTTTTAGTGCAGCTAGAACTCTCCAACTACTAGCCTGGGGGGACAATTCTGTCTGGCCCCAGAAAGATATTCCACTATTATATGACCTTTTAAAATATATCTGCTAAGCAGATCCCAAATAAATTGCTGTAACAGAGTTTAGCCCCAGGTTGTCGAGAAATTGTCAAGAAGTCCTGCTTTAGACAAACTTTAAAAATTCTATGGAGAAAAATGTCACCATGTTTTTTTCCACGGGAACAGAAAAAATCTTTGTTTGATGCCTTTGTCTCAGAATTGAACAACCTGTAAACAGCACAAACTGAACAAGTAAGTAGAGCAGCATATCAAAATAGAATTTTTGAGGCCCACAAGGATGATTTGGGGGCTAGGTCACCATTCCTATGAAGATGGGCAGAGAGAATTGGGGTGGTTCCTCCTGGAGAAGAGTCCAGGGAAACCTGATAGCACTTTCCAGTATTTAAAGTGGCTGCAAGAGAGCTGAGATGGACTTTTTACAAAACCATAGGATGAGATAGGGGGAACAGCTTTTAAGTAAAAGAGGGGAGATATAGCTTAGCTATTCAGAACAAATTCTTGACTATGAGGGTGGTGAGGCCCTGGGACAGGATGGCCAGAGAAGCTGTGAATATTCCATCCCTGGAAGTGTCCAAGGCAGGTTGGATGAAGGTGGGAGCAACCTGGCTTAGTAGAAGGTGTCCCTCCACAGGGAAAGGGTGGTTGGAACTTGACGATCTCAAAGATGTTTTCCCACCCAAATCATACTATGTTTTTTTTTTCCTTATTATTTGGCTCTGAATTCTTTCCAGCATTTTGAACACAAATGTATTTCTTTTTGCTACTATTGTCAGGATACTGTTGGGGTGGTTACAGGAGTGTTAGGAGGAAAATGAGATTGAAACAAACCTTCCTCCTAGTTTCTGGAGTCCATGAGCTTGCAGAGAACCACTAGCACCTGCACATGCTAAAGAAACCATAGTGTGGTCAGCAAGCCTTTGACAACCCCAGTTTAGAGGCCACTGCCTCCTGGCTGACAAGGAGCAGCAAGGAATGCCAGCTACAGTAAACACCAATACCAGATATAAAATGTGAAAGTGTCCAAAGTGTGTGTCTTGTGTTTACCCTAGCAGGACTGCCTGCTCTGCCATGTAAAACTGCCTACGAAACAACACTGACTTCTCACTGGAAAAAGTAATTTAGTCTGGGAGGCTTCTTTGCCTATGACTTTTCTTCTTCAGCACACATCCAGGCTAGACCCAAATCCTTCATTTTCTCTTGCAATTTTTCGAACCTCTGGCTTTTTTTTCTCCCGTCCCTGTCCTGAAGCAGCTGTAACATGGCCAAATACAGACCATCCTTGTCCTTCCCATTCACCAACACCCTGTGTATCCACATGACCTGAGCCTCCATCACCAACCATATCTGCATCCCCTTGGGTTTCTCCTCAGGCTGTGTCCTGTCCCCATCCTTGTACTCAGACTGAGTGATTTCACCTTCACAGCTCTTCATCGTTCTGCCCTTCTCTCTCCTCTCTCATGGGTTCTTCACTCAATGCCCAGCTGACCCCTGTAGCCTCTGCCCACACACTCCTTTTGCAGCCAGCATATTCCTCCAGCTGGGCCATGCTGTCAATTCCCAGAGAAATGACAGGGCCACAGCAGGACTCCCCTCACTCAGAGAAAAGTTACATTAGTTGGACACTCCTTGAAGACGGTGACTCCCATTCTCAGAGTGGGCTGGTCCAGGAAGACTTGCATGGAGGTAAAGTGTGCCACAGCCTGAACATCAACATCTGAAGGAGCCCAGAGTCTGTGTCTGCACAAGGCAGAATTTGCACTGGGTCCCTCACATTCCCACTACATGTGTGCAAGTTATTCTGTGTGTAGGTGTGCTAAATGTCAGAGGATGTGGATTACATCTTTGTGCTGGTCTCAGTGGTTCTGGTGGTAATTCCCCTTTCAGTTATGTAGATAGTTTAAATGTGAACAGTTTGTGTACAAGGTTAAAAGAGAACTCCAGTAAAACAACCCTATTAAGGCTGCTAAGGCAAGTAGGCAATGTGAGAAGGGCATATTTCACCCTGCCCACATATGGCTAGCTCTACCTCTGTCACAGGGTGATGCTGCAACACAGCCCAGGAGCATTCACTGTTGCCTCACAAAACACATTTAAGGAAAGCACTTGAAGGCATTAAGTTAGTGAAACACAGAGACAGGCATATTCTAGAAAAATGTTTTAACAGAGAAGAGAGCGAGCAAGACAAGTTTGGGCAGTATTAATTAGAAAGACATGTCAGAAATTAGAAAAACGAGAACATGGATGGAGAAGCAGAGGTCAAGTGGTTA